AAATATGTAGAACTGTATCCTCAGCTACCACTTTGTTGTCATGCTGGTTGGGGATAATGGTAGTTCTAGTCTAACACATCTAGAGGGCACCAGGTTGGGGAAGGCTAGTACAGATCAAGCGACCTGCCTCCCACCCCCAAAAAGATATAGTTGCAATGGCTCTGCTTAATTAATGCTTACTCTTAGCCACTTTGTAAATGTCAAAGCAGTCTGTCAAGGAAGCTTCACTGTAAAGAGCCATGGTGGAGACAACTGCCATCATGTTGGCCTTGCTAATAAAAAAATAGAGTTTCCTTGAGATATTTTACTAGGCCATTGTCAATATAGGAAAGAGGTTGCAGACTTCAGATGAAGACAAGATTGAAATGTGAACAATGAGTAGAAAAAAATAGTTTTCTGGTGACTCATCTAACCTCAAAAATGGCCTGTGATTCAGCCTGTAAGTCAAACTAGAATGCAAAGTGCGTGTGGTCTTCCTGGGAACTCTCTAAGAGGATCGGTACATAAAAAAATGGGCAGGGCGCCCAAAAGAAAGATGGGAGGAATCCAATAGCAGGCGGGCATGCCTGGATACACGATTTCTACAAGCTTCATAGAGTCATTTGTTATGCCAAGCAGGAAACTATGACTGCTCCCTACCTTCCAAAACTCAGTTAATTTTTTGATCAAAGGTACAGGGTTTAAGACCAGCAGTACCAGTCAGGTCTCCTCCAGATGTGTTGGACTACAACTAGTTGCATCCCCCAGGGAACTAACAACCAAAAAATTTCCTATAGACTAATGCATTTAAGATGAAAATCATCTAGGTCTATTGGTCTAATTAAGGTTTACCATGTACAACATACCCTGTAGCCCAGTGGTAGGCAAAAAGTAGATCTCTAATGCCAGGACTCCCAGAATTCCTGGCAGATGTTTTGGACTTCAGCTCCTTTGGCTATGCTGGCAGAGGCTTCTGGGAACTGAAGTCCACACATTTGGCAATCTCCTTTCTGCCTACATGCCACTTACATATGGGCAATTACATCCTAGTCACTAAATGGCCAAATGAATGGAAATCGTCATGGGAATATTATTCTGTTGTCATCCAGGAAATAAGGTTAGCAAATGACCTGGAACCTTGACCTTAGGCCAGCAGGGAGAGGAAGCTGTTCATAAGCAGCTGACAGCTGGAATATGTCCCAGAGGCAGCAAGCCGTTTGGTGATTAGGACTGTACAAAAAGTTACTGTAGGAAAATCTGATAACTCCGAAACCATTTCTTTTATCCAGTGACACTGGATTCAGAAAGTTATCAGAAGAATCTGTGGGAAATTCATTCTGTTCAGGCCATACTGCTCAGAACTTAAGGAATGTTTAAAAAAACCTTTAAAACATCCCAGTAGGAAGACACATGAAATGCAGGAAGACTTATGGGCAGAGACCAGCCTCAATTAAGGATCAGGCTAAATATTCTATATATCAAAGCCCTTCACAAACTGCAAGCTTTAGAACGCTGCAGATATTGAACAGTGTTGGTCCGTATGATCACCTTAAACTTGGGAGGGACACTTTGTACTAAACTTCTTACTTTTAATGTGTTTTATTACAGAAGCATTCTACTAAATTATTATTACCTTATTATACCCCGCCTTTCTTCCACAGTGTAACTACAAGGTGAGTACATTTCCAGGTGGTTTCCCCTCCAAGCCTTGCCCAGGCACAGACCTGTTTAGATCCAGCAAGATGCCTGCTTCATGTGCCTTCAGACCATACGCTCAGAAATCAGAACAACATACCTGGACCGGGTGGGGTACAGTACAGATTTGAATTACCTGCTGGCATCAGGGTTGGTAGCATCTCTCCCAGCTTGCAGAAACTGTATTTCATTTTAAGAGCTTGCAGCCTGAAAGGGTCTGTGGCTTGGAATGGCCATTGGACTGGAGGTTGCAGTCCCCAACTTCAGAACTAGCCAGTCAGTAAGTTCATTGTATTTAGCCATAGGCCATTACAAGTTAACAAGGTAAAACATTGGATTAACAAATAAAACCCTAAATCAAGTATATCAAAACTTAATACTAAAAGAAAGACCAGGCATAATTCAAGACAGTGTCCCCTCCAAAGCCTCCCTAGCTCTTATCTTTTGAGCTACAAGAGGAAAAAGAGAAACTTAATAAAACACATATGCATCAGCATCTGACAACAAGAACACGAATTTCTCAGAATCAGAGTAAGCATTAAAGGCGAGTAGCATACTGGTCAATTTTTTTTTTCTCTAGGTTCACAATATAAAGAACAGTGAAGAATATAATGCAAGAGGTTATCCACTTCAGGTGATCCACAGATACAGACATGCTGCTCCATCGGAATATGAGAATAGCTGCATACATGGTTTGGAAAGGAAGGGCTGTAAAGGTCACCCTAAGGCTATAATTAGGAATGGTAACTTAGTAATTGGATCTTGAATGGTCATGCTTAATTAGTTTAAACCAAGGAGCAGCCTTGGAATACAGTATCGAAATCGGTCAATTAGGAGCCTGGATAGGGATCAGGGATTATTAAATGCCCATTGGTGAAAGGGGGTTTCCATGGTGGTTGCAGCAAGTCTCCCTTCCTGCAGGGGGTGCCAGCTCAATTCCCGCAGAAGAATGGTATCAAAATTTATCACATGCATGCATAGGCCTGGTCTGTACCCAGTGCTATCCCATGTTTATTTAACTTGTGGTTTAGATAATAAACTGTGGTTAGAACAAACTGTGGTTTTCTTCTTCTAAATTCTTGGGTTGCTTCATTCCCTCTTCTTTCACTTGCCCTTTCCCTGTATCCAAAATGATATTATGGTGCTGTAGTACTCACATTAATAGAAGCTGGGCTTTATTTACTTGTTTGTTTTTGCCACTCTTGCCTACCACCTCTGTAGTTTTGTGAAACAAGCTATGATACTGGATTCATGCATAACAACAGCCCATGGTTTCAACAATCTGGAGTTTACAACCAATGAACAAGCCACAAGTTTTCTTTCTAGGTTGTTCATGGTTTGTTACAGACCCCACATTCATGTTTCACTACACCTCAGAATTCAACAAGCCATGCCATGGATTAATGTCTATGCTTTCTTTCTGTTCCTCCTACCCTCTCACAAAACTGACAGTACCTTTTTATGCAAGTAAGGAACAGTAATATTTGAAGTAGCTCCAAATTCCTTTGCTGTACATTTACCTGCAAAAATCAGGTAACACATTCAAGGGGGGCATTATCTAGGCAAAAACTCATTAACAGAAAAACATTTACATAATCTTGATACTAAATATTTACAGGTTTATATATGGGGGGAGGCAAAACAGCAACAACACCACACAGGAATTATCTTCTGGAGGGCGGGCCCCTTGTAGTACAGGCTTCCCCTGCTAGGTGAGTGTTCTAGGAACCCATCTGCATCAGCTGGTTGTTGTGAGAGGCTGCGTTTGTCTTCAGTAAGAGGTTTTTCTTTTTTGGGGAAAGACTCTTTCAATGTATTTGCCTATTTTGTGATGGCTGACTTACACAAACAATGTGCAATGGTAAAATTTTGTTCAGCTGAGTGTTCAGCAGTTTTTGACCAAAAACAGCATGACCCCTGTGCCCCACCCTCCCTATTCACCCAACAGTAATCAACAATATTCCTATTGTTTCCCCAGATTAAAAAGTCCTCAAAGGGAAACATTTTTCCAATGTGGAAGAGGTGAAACAAAAAAATGGCAGAAGCTTGAAAAGGTATCAAAATTGATGAGTTCAATACCTGTTTTAAGCAGTGCAAAAAATGTCTCGATAGGTGTATTGCATCAAACGGAGAGTACTTTGAAGGTGAAGTTTGAACATGTAAAAATAAATACATGACTGTTTACAAATAAATTTCTGAGGTTTTTGTGTTCCCCCTTGTACACAGCAAAATAATATATGAACAGCATGCAACCTTCCCAACTGAGTTTTAACTACTTTATGAAAAAGTAGAACTACGCTGTTGCATACATGGCAAAATAAGAGATGCAAAATCTCAAACAGCAAATTTCTATAGGCAAGCTCAGAATAGAATCAGATTTCCTGAGCTGGTTCTTTAATGGCAAATCCACCCTTCTTTATTTCCTAAAGCACAGTGATGTACTATAAGCCATATAAATAGTAACTTACTCTGCAAAAGGAAACATACACACCAGGAAGAGATAGAAACATTTCCTTTCCCACATACATGAATGGAGATTGATATATGATCTAGATGATATATGATCTATAATACATGGCATCATCAGAGAATTTTAATCAGCCTGTTTTTGCTAATATTTATCATGTCTCTGCAGTTCCTATTTCATTCACATTCTAACACTAAAAACAATCTGTTTTCTGTAGTAGTTTTACTGTTCATTTTTTTTCAAGAAATAAATGTATGAGATCTAACCACAAACAAATGCTTGAAATAAAACTGACACAGTAATTCATAGTGAGCATGTTAACCAGCAAAACATATGCTGCTCTTATTAGAGCTGCACAAAGGTCCCCTTTCCAAGTGGCCTGCACTTTATCATGTTCTCCGTTTTGTGTCATCAATATCTTTGCAGCAATTCAGTTTCTAAAAATGGTGCATGCATAGTGGGGCGAAGGGGGTGTAACTTGTCACCAAGATGAAATGGGTACTAGCAAATAAGTGGGCATTTCACTCTTGTAATGACACATAGCAGTGCAGTGAAGGTACATAGCTGCATATAATTTCCAAGTTGAACTCCGGCACCGTCTGTAACCCTGCCTGGGATTCTGTGGGGCCTGCCTCACATTAGGCGTCACAGCCACCCGGCGAGGCAAAACGTCTTTGATTAGCCCTGCTTAGGAATCTACTACATAGAGCATGAGTGGGCCCCTTAATGCCTCCCAGATGTTTTCAATATCAGCTCCCATCACTCCTGCCTAATATATCCAATGGTCAGGGACCATGGGAGTTGCAGTCCAAAGCACCTGAGCACCAACTTGACTTCCCCAATACAGAGAACATACTCATTGAAGCATTCCAGTTCTTTAATGACTACAGTTTACATTGGAAATGAGGAACAGAAATCACAGATTCTAAGAACAAAGGGTAATGCATACTCCTAACATGATATAAGAAATATATGTGTGATCAGATCCACTCTCTTTCACTTACTCCGCACCCCTTCTGAAGTTTACCTCCCCCAGTCTTCCATCCCATATACATAAATGTAAAGTGACAAGCTGGAGACAGGGTTACCAAACGGAAGACTATGCATGATGAAGCTATAATATATAGGTCATTTGTTTAAAGTATGTCAAAGACTGAATCTAGTGGGGCTTTAGCACAGATATATTCTGATTGTGAGAAGATTTAAAGGATGACAGGATAGTTAAGGAAGTGTTGTTGCTTCATCCAGAGAGGTAGCCATTTTCATCTGCTGCACAAAAGCAACAAAGAGCCATGTGGCATCTTGAAGAGTAATAAACATATTGAGTCCCAAACGCACAGACAATACAGTTACTACCAAAAGTGGTCTGATCAATCTTTTTATCTAGTTGCTACACTGCACATTTTGGGGCAGATTCTGTTCTTATGTGCCCCTGTGTATGTGCCATTTACCTAAACAGAGAACTATACACATTTAAGATCTCTGAACTGGGTTAGATTGTAGCCCACTGCCCATAGCAGGGCCATCCCCAACTGACAGAGAGGTACATGAAGAAAGTAAATGGCACCACACAGTTGGGACTGACTTGATCGAGAGGGTGAGAGCAGAAACTAGCTCAAACATCATTCGGACTGAAAACAGATGGCCTGACTTTCATGACGACAGATTTCAAGGAGTACCACCACCCGTGCCATGTGTACCATACGATCCCATTGTCTGTTGTAGCAGAGTAGGGTCCATTGTAGTACAAGCCGTTCAGGTTGGCAGAGTGACATCTGGCAGGGAGAAAAAGAACAAAAGGAAATAAAGGATATCCTCTGGATGCATCTGTTCCAGGGGTATTTGCATATGGTAAATTGATTTTGCTCAGATCCCCTTACCAAGCTCTCTCTGATTCTTCACCCTTTGCAAGTTTCATTAAGCATGTACTGACCACCATCTAGAAACTGGGCAGCCATCTGAGTGGGATGGTGTAAATTGGTGTCCTGCAACAGCAAGGAGTTGGACCCGATGTCCTTCTTGGCCCCTTCCAACTCTACTATTCTATGAGTCTATGAATGAGTCAGATGGAAGTGATGGTGGATAAAACACATCAGAGAATCACCGTGTGTGTGTGTGCGTGTGTGCGCGCATGTTCATTTTTGGTCTAAAATGGTACACACTTAGAAATCATTTTGAATATCCAGACAGTGTCAACATACTCAAATGTTGTTGAATCATATAGTGGGTATCGCACAGCAGACTTTAGTGCTTTGGGAACAACCTGAAACTAACCGAAAAGCTATTTCAGGAGGCAGGTCAATAGAGAGCACTGCTGACCAGCCCACTTCCAGAAATGAGAATTTCCACTTATTTGGAGGCCTCTCCTAGGAAGTGCTAAAACTCTCTTGTGTATAGGTGTGTGTGGGGGGTCCCTCTTGCATGATGGAATTGGAAGGACCCATCACTTCTAGATGGGGATCATGAACACCCTCTTGGATTCTGCCCCATACAGCATAGACTCTGGGTAGAAATAGATGAATGGTAACCATCAATCTTAAAAACTGCTTGGAAACTACCCCAAGGGGCAATCGGTGTTATTCTCTAAATATGTGGTAAATTCCACTGTACGGAACATACTGTCTCTGTGGTTCTTCACAAAGTGTGCATTGCTAAAGTATGGTGCTTACCACACATCTTCACTGATGTGTGAGCAAGTGACACTAGCATTCACCCAGATTCATTGTGCATCAGCTCATTGTTAGTCTTCCCTCAGTTTACAGTTCCAGTTGTGATAGTTTCTTTTGTGTGAATGGCAAGGTTGTGTAAAATGAGCGGGATCAAAAAAGGCCATATTGGGCCACTTTTTCTCCCACAGAGAAAAGTGTAACATGACAAATATTCTTGAAATATACAACCCTGAATATATTTTGTGGCAAAGTTAGCACATTTGCCCAACACAAATGCATGTTTGAGATTTTGGAAACATCTTCAGAGAACATATTCTGCTCACTCTCACATCTGGGGTGGCAAGGAGAGCATGATTACTAGGTTTTCAAGCAGAAGTGAGATTACTGCACATCCCTAGTTACGGATTCCCACTCCCCTCCACACACAGGTAGGGCCACCATATGGAATGTTTGGAAGCTGCAAATGAATGTTTCCGTACTTAGTATGCCTCATGATTTGACCGGACATCCTGACTGGGCAATCTGTTTTTGAGGGGAGCGGGGAAGGAAGTTTAGTTCCCTCAACAACTTCTCTGATGGTATTCTAAATTAGAGTCTCCCAACCTGGTGCCTTCAAATTTGTTGGACTACAACATCAATCACTCCCAGGCCACATAGTCAAATATTGCTCTAGAGGCATTCCGTGACCACTAGTTCGAGATTAACACTGAGATATATATATAGAGAGGGGGGGGGAATGAAATACTCAACCAGTTAAGTCCACATCAATTCTGTATGGTGTGTATGTGTTTAAAAAAATAGTTTCCTGAAAATGATGTATTAGCCTAACGATGTTAAAAGTCTTGAGTTTCTTTTCCAAGTTCAACTGGTTGAATTCAGCTGAAGGAAAATTATGCTGTCTCAGAATACTACTTTAAGACAGTACTATAGAATAGTATAGTTTTAGTCATCCTTGGAAGGGATTAAACTAGTAGCCCCTAAGGAAGAGCCAATAGGCTTGGAATGCATGGGCCAACAATCCATTTTCGGGGCACCACTGAAGTCTTTTCTCTCTCTTTCTCAGTCACTGAACCAGTGCCCTCCTTGTAAAAGGTCCCACAGCTCAAAACCAGATGGTTGTTCGTTTATCACATAAAATGGCATCATGTACTAGCATGTAAAACAAGGACAGAAAGGTAGGAACCTGTCCATCTCAAAGAGGACAACTTCTGTCACTAACTCCAATTTGGGAAGCAAGCTTAAAACAAATGGATTTTTGCTGCTTTTTTGTTCTTCAAATGCTGCTGGCCCCTGGTCCACTAATGAGCTTCATTTGAGGTGCAATCCTGTGCATATTTAGGTTGGAGATAAGTCCTACAACTCCCAGCATGCCCAGCTGGAGGTGGAATGCTGGAAGCTGCAAGACTTCTGTCTAAACACGCACAGGATGGTGTTCTTCAGTGGAGGATGATTTGAAAACTTTCAAAATTCTACCAAGGTGATCTAGCAAGTAAACAAACACCCACAAAAGGAATTTGATTACTTTCTTAGTCAGTTGCTTTGGAGTAATTTTGTGAATGCATTTTCTGCCAACTTCTGCAAGTTTACATGATGGAACAAAGGTAAGATTCCTCAGCCTAGCCATTAGGCAACTGATCTGTATTTGTTAAGAAATCTCCGTGCGGGTTAAATATAGGCAAACTGGCCATCAGCCACCAGCTTAGATTTTCTGAGCTACCTTTTAATTGGCTATGAAGAAATCCTCCCTCTTTGGCCTGCAGCCCTCTCTGTTGCCTCAGCAAACTGACTTCAAAATTCTCCATGATGCTTCAGGATTTCACTCGTTTCCATAAGAAACAACTTTGCCTGTTTTACTGGGGGCCTCTTTTTCAAATCCACCTGGAGAAAGGAACAGTATCTTCTGTACTATATTGCTGTGAGTCAGTCAGTCTGTAGCCTCTGTGCATGAGCACAAAAGTAAATGCTTTGTCGGTATCACTGGGGGCGGTTATGCCTCAGTGGCTGGAAAGTGAAAGAATATCTCATCCAACAACTTGCTCCAAGGCAGGATAGGATTTCTCATTTACTGCAGGGTGTGCTACCTTGGAAAGGTGACTAAGAGTCAACTGCCCATCACCCTGATGGATGGGATGGATCCAGAGCTTGTTTATTACAAGGGCTCTTAAAGGAGCCCAGTGTTTTTGTTTCCCACTGCATCATTCCCGTTGCTTCTGAACACCAATTGCTGGGGAACGTGAGCTGGAAAGTGCCCTCTTGTCCTACTCGTGCTCGTCCTATAGGTACCTGGCTGGCTAGTGTGAGAACTAGATAAGTCTTTGGTCTGATCTGGCATGAGACTTATTATGTTCCAGTGGAGTCCCTGTCCATGTAGGGCAGGAATGGAGAACATGAGTGTGAGTATGCACTTTCTACCATAGGATAAATCATAGAATAAATCATTGTGTGGGAGAAAAGAAAGTGGGCCCAGAAGGTGCTAAGCCTACTATTTTAGAATGAAGATGAGGAACCTGCAACCTACAGGCCTACCAGATCTGGTCTATGGAGTCTCCCCATCTGACCTACACAGACTTGGCCTCCCAGTCTACTTCCCTTCCCAAGACTTGGCTGCCAAGTCCCACCACCTGACTGGGAAATTCAAATAAATCCTGGTAGGAAAGGGTTGTTAATAAGTGCCTTTGTGTTATAAAATCAAACTTGCACCCCTTTCTCAGAAAGCAGCAAAATTCCAAGCCAGGTTACTGTTTAGCATTGCTGTTCCTTTAAGAGACTGGAATTCTCAGCTTGTCTGAGAGTGGTATTCTTGTGCTAACAGCAACAGAACTGATAAGGTGGCCAGAGAAGGTTTTTGTTTTGTTTTGTTTTGTTTTGTTTTGTTTTGTTTTGTTTTGTTTTAGCAAATTGCAATCACACTAATTTGCATGACCAAACTCACAGCCAAGGTCCACTATAATCCCTGTGCCTCAGTAATCCTTATGTTAATCTCCTGTAATCAATGGTATTGTATTAAGTCTTCTCGGCAGATCTCTCAAATTCTTTTTGACTGTGTCCTTATTTCATTATCATCTGCCCTACAGTGTACATGTGACTCAGAACCTATACAACACTCTAGATATGTTTTAAAAGCTTGTAGTCAGCTGTGAAGACCACTACCCAGTAGCACGCCGTTGTAAGTAAACTGCAGGGGGTTCTGGGTGATCTCACCAATAAAAACACTGGCGTTCAAGGCGAATCAATCTTCCCTATGGGTCTGAGTGTTCATTCCTGCCATTGGTAAGGAGACTCTGACACCTGGAGGCTACAGAAACCCAGGAAGGAGAAGAATCTTCCTGTAGGGATGTAGTAGCCTAAATACTGAGCATGCAGCCAATGTTTGTTGGAGCGCCTGCAAGCAGCTATATGAATATGTCTCTCTACGCAATATGTTTATTTATTTGTATTATAAAATATTTTATAATGTATCTTTAAAGTTTTAATTTGTGCACACTGCTCAGAGAGCTTTGGCTAATGTAATAAACAAATTGAAATGTATCAGTAGCTAAGACTGTAGCCTGAGGCTCCATTCCTAGAACCGCAAACTTGGAAGTAAGTCCCATTGAACCAATTAGCTTCTGCACCACCTTGAACTCTGGGCTGGTCAAAGCATGTTGCTGGCCAAGGTAATCTTCTGATGCAAAAGTACATGTTAGGAAACCTCACTGAATGCCATGGGACTTAACTTCCAAGTGCACATACATAGCAGCAAACTACATGAAGACCTGAGCCCTGTGGCCTGCCAGGTGCTGGTAAGTCCTGTCTTTCTGCACCCCAGGCAGGCAGTGCAACCAGGGGATTTGCTGTATCTCTGGCAGTATGTTATAGATACTGCCACAATAAGGTGTTTCTAGATGAAGTTATCTTGTGCAATCACCCTGCCTCTTTCTTGCACTTGCATCAGTCAGACAGAGTCCAAGCAATGCTGGCTTCCACCTGTGACCCTCCTATGTTTTCATATTTCTCCTATGTTTTCACAGTTACACATGTACACACACAATCTGTTAAGAAGCAAAAGACGGAATTTTTATACAAAGCCTTTTGACTGGAAGAGCTAGGGGCTGTCATTCCTGAAG